CTGCGCGGCGATGTTGACATCAAGTGTGTGTTGACCGAAGTTTGACCCCCAAGTCACGCACTGAACTAGCGCGTTACCTTAGCAATCTTTTTCTTTCACGCTCCGCGCGTCGATCTTGTAAAATTGTTATTAGTTCTGACGGTGCTGTACGCAAACTTGTATATTTTAAGGTAGTTTACTTAGTGCGCTGCTTTTCTAATTACGCAAATTTCAAGCTGTTTACAATATTGTACTGGCTCTAAAAAATTCAACATTGTAATATATCGCTTTCATAATAATTACGCAAACTCAGTTATTTAATATTGGACACTGATGATGTTTCGTCCGCGAACGATACAATGTGGTATAGATTTGAAGAGTAGTTCGGAATTTAAAAATAGTTAGTACTGTACCACTTAAAGGGGCACCTTCCAGTTAATCCTAATCTCACAACAAATTTACTTTCTGGATTAAAATAACAATGGATAACAAAAGATAGATTAACATTGTAAACAACATAAACAATAGTGTCCAATGATTCTTTAGTGCAATCCATGGGATTGAGCGGTTCCCCTTTAAAACCACTATTTCGATCACTCCTGTGCCAGTGACCAGTGTTTGGGCGACCGGTCGGTGTTTTCAATGAGACAACGAGAGAAAAATTACGATAAAAATGCAGTCGTTTTCCGGTCGGAAATTAAGCGATAAGCCATCGATTAAAAGTGGGAAGTTGGGCGAAATGAGTACTGTAGTTCAAGTGATATTAGCGTATTTCTAATTCAGTTTTTATCTCGGACAATATTTATTTACTCACTGTTCACTATAGCCAGAACGCTGTACGTGTCTTCACTTTCAGGTTAGTTCTTCTGCCGATTTCCCGCAACCAACAACTTGATTTTTTTTATTTGGGATTTCGAGAAACTTAACATGAATCGTTATGGCATTCATAACACAACACCTCGCTATGTTACAACTTTTGAGTTGTCAGTTAACAAGGCCTAGTAGCATTTATGTGGGATTGACGTACTAGAATGAATGGGTTCAATTATCAGTGTTCACTGATGACATCATTTGACTGGCCCTCTAGAGGTGAAATAACGCCAGGCAAAGCGGAAGTTTGTCGTCTGCTTCACAGCCCGTTTTATACCCAATATTTAAGGCATTTCGCAGCACATACAAGTTATTTTTATTGACAGAATTCATTCATAGATTTCAAATTTCATGTACAGAGTGTCACAAGCCACACCTCTGCTCCCTTTTAATCATCAGTTGCCAAGTCAATATTCAGTTTGGACCAGTGTTGAGAATGTAAACTGCTGTAATCTAAACAATATTCAGGACCATTCACTTTCGATATCCACACCCACTACACACAGGGGAAGTAGATCGGCAAGCTCCACCAGTGATAGGCTGAATGGTGGCCTTTTTCGCTGAATGGTAGCTCATTTTCCAGTCAGCGAAATAAACAAAATTAAAACCCAGTGAATAATTAACCCTCTTACAGTAGTTAGCATTACCATATATGTTGATCAGTACTTGTGTGCAATGTCTTCAATAAAGCACTGTGTGAATGTCTATCTGCAATAGTAATGTAAGTGTATACGAACTAATGGACACTGCACGGACATTTGCAACCACTGTATCCCCTTTTTGCAACATGTGGGGATAATAAACGCCTAGTCCTAATTATTGACAAATAGTTTTGGTGTTGGTAAAACTTTATTGCACTTTTACCAATCCAATACATATGAATCCACTTTTTTGATAAACTAGTACAATGGTTTAAAAATGCTTTCTTTGTTGCATGTTCAATAATACAACACATGTCAGTATTGGGGTGGAGACCCAGGTTCAGAAATGCTCTCAAATTCCCTGTTATTGTAATCTATAATATGCATCATTGACAAACATAATCAACTTGTGGCATGCAGGAATGGTTACGGGGGTGTTCCTATGCTTGTTCAGGTACAATAAATATTGTAATTACGAACTTTACCCCCCTTTAATTTGATGCATTCCTAATTGTATGTAAATGGTATCACCAAAGTTTCACACAAAAAAATTCAAAAGCTATAAAAACAATAAAGAGGTGTGGTCTTACAAAAAAAGGGGTGGGGAATTAAATTTTGGTAAAAAACAACAAAAAATACACCTGAACGAACCTGAGTCTCACTAATCTAATTGTCCCCAGAAACTCCCCAAGTATGAATATATACAGTCTAATCTCTCGATTCATGGCATAGTTGCCTGGTTCCTTGGCAAGTGATTCATTAAGGCAAACAAAAAGACTAATTATCCACAAACAATGCCACATTCAATTTAAACTGTTTTCAAACGAGAATTGATATGGCTCTGTATCTATTATATACTGGCACATTGCAGGAACAGGCATGGCATCAAAAACCCACACAATTTAAAATGCAGATTAATATAGCGCCCTCTTTGGTACAAATTCCATCCTCATGGGATACTTGCTTTCAGCGCAGTTAAGATCAAAAGTTGTTGACCCAGGCACACTTTCTGCAGCCCACATCTACAGAATGTGGTACAAATTAATATGGCAAATAATCCTGAAGGGAAGTTGGACCTCACAAAATATAAACCAAGAGGTTTTTGTTCATTTCCACTAAAAGAACAAATATTTAAAAACTTCAACAGTAAAATTACTAGATAAAGAATGAATCTGTTGCCAAGTGAACCAGTCAATACTTGACAAGAAACATTTAAAAAATATAAAAAAACAACTGCAACTTTGACCTATTTAAGCAGGTTTTGTCACAGCATTGCTCCAACTAGGATGATCTCGCAAGTTCCTCCGTGGTCATATCGCAAGATTTGGAAGTAGGAGCTTCGTCAGCATATGAAGAAAATGTACCACAATGTTTTATTTTAAAAACTATCATGACAGAAGTCTGGGATGCAGCAGATTAATACTTGAGTTGCAGGAAATCCTATCCTTTTGACCAACTATTGGCTACATCCAGAATTCTTCATACCAAGGGTCAGTTTTAATTTGTTTTCAAAAAAATAAACATGTCATGCTGCAGATGTCATCTTGATACTTGGGTCTTCAAAAAACATTCACATAAACAATCTATATGTCAGAAAACGTCTCACAAATGGTTCAAGTTGGATGGGTGTAATCCCTGAATATTCCAATTTCCGTGAAAAGATTGAAACACTAATTCTCATCAAGTTGAATGTCAAAACTGCTAGAAAAGGCTGTTAAGCAGCAGTACTTCAGTTGGTCAACACACACAGTTCCTTATTACTACAGATGTATTATTACAATCTTTCAAACTTGTTCACATGTTTATGTCCGGAGACATCAAGCCTCCGTCGTTGGTTTCCATAGACACAGCTTCATTAAATCATAACCGAGAGGAAAGCACTCCTTCATCCCATTTCACCTTATTTCATAATCTCTTTTCGTCAACATCAAAATCTAAAACTAAAAGTTTGGTTTCCTCTGTACCATTGCGGCTTCCCACTGCACATACTAATTTGGTTTGACTGGCCCGTATTCTCCACACCACACCCCCGCTACCACCGCTTTCTAGTGTCACTAAATTGCGAATGAATTCTCCTGTATTTAAGTCCCAGATTTTAACAGTCCCATCATCAGAGCTTGTTATAACAAATTTTTTATTGAATTGTAGACATGTGACTGCACTCTGGTGTTTGTTAGGCCCTGAAATAAAAAGTAAATGAGAGACTTGTAAGTTATCAAAACAAAATTAATTTCATGCCAGGAATAATAATACAAAATTATATCGTACAAAAGTAGAAACTGCCATGTAAAAAATATACACACACACAGGGCAAGCAGAATTCATCTTTGAGATACATAGTCAGATGTGAAACCTAAAACATATGAAATTATACAACTGAAATTAATCATTCTACTGTAAGATGTTGGAATCTCTTACCCTGTAATGTTTGTAGACACTGGCCTGATTGGATGTCCCATATTTTAACAGTAGAGTCAGCATTTCCTGAGACAAGTATATTATCTTTAAGTTCCATGCCACTAGTTAATGATTGATGTCCCATTAGAGTATGTTTACATTCACCTGATTCCACGTCCCATACACGTATACTGGTGTCTAACGAACCGCTCACCACGTGAACGCCATCAAACTGAATAGAAATAGAATTCATCATTATACACAAGAGACAGAGGCTCCTGAAATGGTTCAAGCATTATAGTTAGTGTACAGGTGTTACGTCATCACACAATAGGGTGTTTACACAAAAATCTGATATAATATGAATGAATGAAATAAAAGAATTCTAAATTTTGTTGACATTCTATGGATTAACACTGAAGAATTCAGAAATTTGTGGATATCCCTCAGATTTATTACAGAAGATAGAAGAATTCTGAAATTTGAGGAGGTTCCATGGATTTACACAGAAGATAAACTGAGTGTCATGCCATCCTCACCTGTAATGAGTATACTCTATTGGTATGACCTTGTAATGTATGAAGACACTCTTCAGTCTCTGGATTCCATACTTTTACCATATAGTCGTAAGCACCACTGACAACCCGCCTGCCATCATACTGTACACATCTGACAGCGGCTACATGACCCATCAACACATGTAAGCACTGTCCGGTATCTATGTCCCACACTCGTAGCGTTGCATCTCTTGAGCCGCTGACAACTCTGAAAGAACGTTAACAATCACTTGATACATGGTGCCATTCATATAACACAACATGGGGTTGTCATGTGTAAACTACATATCAAAATCAATGTAATACCTTGATGACACTGTCACACTATGCACTGCCTAAAACACACACTGTATAGTCTATAAGCTAATCAATTCCCACCCATGATAAACAAAATGAAATTATGTACACTATACATTATTAGGAGGATACCGAAAAGTATGCATGAAGACAGTACAGCGAGAGTATCGATCAACGCGCAGCGGAGGTCAATACGACCAT